AAGAGGAAGCATTAGTGAGCACTCTCTGTGTTCGTTCCACTTAACCAATTACAGATCCACCTCACCGTAGTTTTGCCTAGCCCACATTTGACTAGTTTGTTAGCCAGAAGGTCATGGGGGACCTTGTCGAAGACCTTACTGAATTCCAGATACGCTACAGCTTGTGCATCTACCCAGCTTGTAGCTCTATCGGAGAAAGAGATCAGATTAGTCTGGCATGACTTGTTTTTGATAAATCCATGTTGACTATTAGCGATGACTGCATTTGTTTCTAAGTGTTTGCAGACCGCTTCCTTAACAATCTTTTCCAGAATCTTGCCCGGTATCGACTTGAGGCTGACCGGACGGTAGTTGTTTGGGTCATCCTTTTTTCCCTTCTTGAAGATTGGGACCACATTGGCCCTCCTCCAATCTGCTGGAACTTCTCCCGTTCTCCAAGAACTCTCAAAGATGGTTGCCAATGGTTCCGAAATGACTTCCGCTAGTTCCTTCAATACTCTGGGGTGTAGTTGATCTGGCCCTGGGGACTTGAACTCATTAAGAGCGGCCAGGTATTCCTGGACGACTTCTTTCCCAATTTGGGGTTGGATGTCCTCCAATCCCGCATCCACTCCATCTTGCTGAGGTTGAAGACTCTCTTTTTGTGAGAAGACCGAGGCAAAGAAGGCATTAAGTAGTTCTGCCTTTTCCCTATCCCCTGTCAGCATTGCCCCATCTTCTCCGCGAAGAGGTCCTATCGCCTCCTGGTTTTTCCTTTTTGGGGGGTGGGGCATGCCACAGCCAGAGACTGCTGCAATAGGGGAGTGGTGCGGTTGATTAGGGGACTGTCATCCCACATTCCTGGGCTACCTAAGCAACTGGTTCCATTTGGGAACTGGCCCAACTGTTCTCACCTAAGTTCTCAACCTAAGTTGGGAAAGCCCATATTTTTTTAAAAAAGTTGTTGAGTCAGAATCCAGACTTTTCCCTAGCTTTGGGTAAAGCAAAGCCAAGGCTGTATTAAAGTTCCCTTATCACGGAACTGCCCCATGTAATGTTTGGTTGCTGCAGGGCTGATCCTCATCTACACCATTAAGTGATCAGTGTAGATTTGGTCTCAGTTTATTACATAGTGTTTCAATACCACCCACCCAGCCATTCGTCAGTGAAGACAAAAGAGCTATGATCTTTGTCAATGCCATACTTGCTTTGTTGATGCCATACTTGGGACAATTCTTTGCATAGTGCTGAATTTATGTAGAGAGAACATTGATTCTCCAACAGATGCTCTCTGATCTCAAAGGGGAGGAACAGTCTATGTAAAAACAAGTGTAGTGCCCATTTGAAAGTAGAAAAGATTCATCTAAACCAGAGGTCCTCAAACTAAGGCCCTCGCTCAGGGTCAACCTAAGTGTGAAATGACCTGAAAGCACACAACAGCAGCAGCAGCAGCAACAACAATCCTATGTCATCAGCCAAAAGCAGGCCCATACTTCCCATTGAAATACTAACAAGTTTATATTTGTTAAAATTGTTCTTCATTTTAATTATTGTTTTATTTTAAGTGTTGTTTGAACTACAAAAAAGATATGTGCAGTGTGCATAGGAATTCATTCATTTTTTTTTCAAATTATAATCCGGTCCTCCAACAGTTTGAGGGACTGTGACATGGCCCTCTGTTTAAAAAGTTTGAGGATCCCTGATCTAAACCATCAATAGTGCTCGATCACTATAGTTTTAGCTGTCGGAACTTTGATAGGCAGCACTTCCTTGGCTTCACTTGCAAAGGATCTGCTCCCACATTTCCAAGAGAGAAATGCAACCCCAGTGAGATGACTGGCTTTTATTCATTTGATTCCAGGTGAGCTGTATGTGTGACACATTTCCGGTATGTGATGAGAATTTTCTAGTGAGTGAAAAAGTAGTTTAAAATGCTGGCATGTGCATTTGTGAAGGGGAGAACTACATATGTAGGAAGAGAAATTAATCACATCTTTTAGCATCTGTTGCAAGAATAGCAGCACAACTATTGTGGCTAGTGATACTGAATAGTGTTGGACTGCCCAACTGAAATTTTTGCTTGCTACCATTACTTTCCAGAAGATGCGTTGATTAATTAACAAGCTAGCAATTAGTCCATCCACTTGAAATAATATATCTGTTTAATAAAAAAAGATATATTTTACAAGTTTGCCCTTTTAACAGATTTTAAAGTGCCTGGTAGAATAATTTATGTAATGATTTGTGTATTATGAAAACTTATTTCACCATCTGTAAAGCTGAAAAATGCATATAATATTTTAAGAGAAATGTCAAAATTTGTAATTAAAATTCTGGCACTGAAAAATTTGATCAGCTGCTAAAGTGGATCATTTTAATTAATGAAGGAAATTTAAAAAACTAAATTTCTTTTTGCCAACAATATTCTACTTGCTGAGAAAAAGTTAGAAGACGTTTCCCTTAAAGCTCTCTGTGGTTTGTGCATATTTAAAATCAGGGGTCCTCAAACTATGCCCCGCGGGCCGGTCAAGGCCCCCGGGGGCATTTATCCGGCCCCTGGATGCTGGATCCCACGCAGGGTGGGCAGGAGGTGCTTTTTAAGGTGGACCTCGCTCATCCTGCGTGGCTGCGGGACATCTTCCTGCCTGTTTGGTGGGTGGGTGCACAGGCGGCGTCACGTGAAAGGAGTTTGTTAAGGGGCCTTTTACGTGACCCGTTGCGCGCCCACGGCCATGGCAGAAAAAAGAAGGGACCGGCACTGTCGAAACATAATGAAGCCTGGCGCCCTGCCAAAGCACGCACGCGCACACACACAGCTTCCTTCTCTGCGTCTCTCTCTTTCTCTCTGTCTCTCTCTCTCTCACACACGCCAAACTGAGCCACCAACTTCCCAACCAACGCATCTCCCAAACCCTGGAACTAAACTGCTCAAGGGGAGCTGTGCTCAGGAGAGAGGGAAAGCATCCCAAATCCTCCTCCAGCCCCCTCTCCACCTCCCCTGACTTGGGACTGAACAGCTTCTGATCCCAGGACAAACTCCCTTCCAAGGAAAAGGGAGGAAGAGCTCACCCTCAGCCCAACGTCCCTCTCTCAAGCTTCTCCTTCCATCCGGTGTGCTTTTCTCCCACTCTTCCCTGGCTTCGAAGAGGGGGAGGAAAGAAGTCATTCAAACACCCCTGCCTGCTGTGTGTATGCGCTTTAAAGCTCCTCTTTCTGTGTATTAGGGGGGAGAGAGACGGGGAGGAAGGAGTCGGGGACATGCAACTGATAAGCATATCGAAGGAGACAAAAAAGAAGCATTAAAAACATGTAAAAGAAAGGAATTTCCTCTCCTCTCCTCTTTTCTTCTATTCCTTTCTTTTCTTTTTCTCTTTTTCTCCCCCTCCTTCTTTCCCCTTTCCTTCTCTCTTTCTCCCTCTTTTTTTTCTCCCTTTCTTCTCCTCCTCTCCTTTTTATATCCCTTTCTTTTCTCCCTCCTTTCCCTCCCTCCCTCCTTCTTTCTCCGAGGCAGCTTTCAGGAAGAAGGAGAGGAGGAGGAGAGGAAGGCCGGTGGGCAGCCCAGAGGAGGAAGGCTGCTGCTGCTGCTGCTTCTCCAGCAGTGCTGCTTCTGCCGCTCCTGGTGGCTGATAGCTGGGCGGGGGAGGGACCCACTGTCCTCCTCTTCCTCTCTATGATGGCACACCAGGAAGATCTAATAAGAAAACTAAATGTGTCTGGCTATTTTCCCAGTGACCATCGGTATGCCCTATAAGTACTGTAATTCCCCCAAAATAAAACTCTACAAACAAGATTAAATTCAAACAATTGGGTTTACTGAATAATCAAGGTATAAAAGTGCAGTTTGATTATGACATAAAGTTAGAATAGTAAAATATAAACTCTGAGGTAAAAAAACAACTATAATTTCTATGAGGTAAATATAACTATTAACTATGGCAAGTATATCTATTAACTAGTTTCTATAGCATATTCAAATCTATAATCTATGGGGCATGTACAACTATTAATTATGGCACGTATATCTGTGAACTCTGGGGCATGTATAACTATACTATGAGGCATGTATGTGCTAAGGATGGCCTGTTCGGACTGCAAGCCAGACCAGACACTTTCTGGCAACCAACTATATACTATTGTCCGAAAAGAATGGAGCCAAAAAGTCTTTCACCAGGCAGTGTGGACTCTGATAATGCAGTTCAAAGCAGATATTGTGGGTTATCTGCCTTCATATTCTGGGTTATATGGCTGTTTGGAAGGGCCCTTTCAGAGCCCTATATCCCTGGATCTGATCCTAGGTTTTCTGTTTATCCCAGATTATCTGGCAGTGCAGACTAAAATAATCCAGTTTAAAGCAGAAAACCTGGGATCAGATCCTGAGAAGGGCCCACAGTCTCCTTGTGAAGACAAAAAGTTGTGTATAAATAAGCATAATAATAATATTGTAGAACAGAAATTTGTTCCTGGTTTGAAATGGTTATTTTCTGTTTAATTGTGCAGCTCTTAGTAGTTCTCCTCCAGAAACTTTGTGTAGCTGCCACAAACTATGATGACAAGAGGTCATGGGAATTCAGCCAATAGGCTGATCAGTAAACATATTCATGGGTTCCCTGCTGTTATAGTTAGCCTGTTACCCATGCTACAACATGCTTGAAGTCAAAATTTCATATATTTGTAATTAGAAATAAATGTTTCACAATATATAGAATAAATGTTTAACAATATTCCCGTGTAAACTATAGTCCGGCCCTCCAACAGACTGAGGGACAGTGAGCTGGCCCCCTGTTCAAAAGGTTTGAGGACCCCTGTTTAAAATGTTCTGTATATATTTGAGTATAAGCCAACCCAAATATAAGCCGAGGCACTTAGTTTACCACAAAAAAATAGGAAAACTTATTGACTCGAGTATAAGTCGAGGATGGGAAATGCAGCAGCTACTGATAAATTTCAAAATAAAAATAGATACTGATAAAACTACATTGAAGCATCCATAGGTTAAATATTTAATATTTACATAAATGTACCTGGGGAAGGCAGCAAAGCCAAGGGGGCCTCTGAGGGAGGAGTGCTAGTCTTTTCCACAGGAAGCAAAAGACCATTAAAAGGGAAGGGATTGCCAGCTTTGGCTCAGCCCCTCTTACGTGCCTCTCAGGTTGTGATGGATGTTTTTCACCGCGCAGGAAGAGGAAGAGAGGTGTGTGCGTGTGTGACAAAAGAAGGATTTCTTGAGGTTTGTAAAGCTTCTCCCTCCCCATGCGTGCCTCTCTTCTTGTCTTGGCACATATGTGTGTGGCGAAAGGAGCGAGGGTGGCATGCATGGCCTCCCTCCTTTTGCTGCACATGCACGCACCTTCCTACCTTCTTCTTTTGCTGCACACTCAAAAAACATCCATCACAATGTGAGAGGCACCAAGAGGGGCTGAGTCAAAGCCAGCAATCCCTTCCCTTTCAGTGGCCTTTTGTTTCCCTTTTGTTTCCTCTCCCAGACCCCCCAGGCTTTGCTGCCTTCTCCAGGTACATCTACAGTGCCAGTTAATGCAGTTTGACAGCAATTGAACTCATATGGCTCATTAGTGCTGGGTTGGTGTACAGAGAGGTGAGGGTCCTGGCGGGAAGGCTTGGGATTTCTTTCAGCTTCACGCCTTCCCATCTGGACCCTCACTCAAATATAAGCCAAGGGGGACTTTTTCAGCCTTTAGAAAGGGCAGAAAAACTCAGCTTATACTTGAGTATACACGGTAATCCTCTTTTAGGTCTCTTTTTGGAAATAAACGTCAGAATATTATTGTTATCATCATCAACAACAACAATAACAACAGCAGCAGCAGCAAAACAATAATAGCAACTTTTGAAAACTGTTGAGTGTATAACATATTCTGTATGTTCTTGGTTGAAAAATTCTTCCTTTACTGAAAAGACTCTTCCCTGTTATTAATTGTGAAAATAGTTTATTTACTGCCCTGGATTTGCAGCTTCAGTCCATTGTATTCCTTCATGTTTATCTGGGAAGAAGATTAATGATGACTTAAGTTCCTGAGGTGCACCAGTGCCCATTTCTCTTTTCAAGGAGATGGAGAGCAAAGAACCTTTACTTATCTGTTTGTTTGTTTTTTTAAAAAAACCCTTTATTTGTACCCCGCTAGCATCTCCCGAAGGACTCGATGCGGCTTACAAAGGCCAAGGCCTCAACACACAATATAACAATACAAAACCTAAGGCAAATTAAAAGCAATTAATGCAATATAAACAACAAGCAATAAACAATACACTAAGACACAATAAAACTGGGCCGGACCAGAGTAATGGGTACAGGATTAAAAGTGCTGATGTGACAGGTGGTATATAAGGCTTATAGGGCAAGTGCAGTGTGCAGAGTGCGGCAATCTTAGTTTTAATAAAGTGCTTATGGGACTTGGTATTGGAGATTTCCTATTCTGGGAAGGCACATCGGAACAGCCAGGTCTTCAAGTTCTTTCTAAAGACTGCCAATGTAGGGGCCTGTCTAAGATCTTTGGGGAGGGTGTTCCAGAGTCGGGGGGCCACCACAGAAAAGGCCCTGTCTCGTGTCCCCATCAAACGCACTTGCGATGCAGGCGGGATCACGAGCAGGGCCTCTCCAGATGACCGAAGTGAACGCGTGGGTTTTTATTCCTTTTCTATTGGTATTTATACTGATACAGATCCCCCGTGAAACTGGAAAACATGAAAAGCTTGGGAGGGGGATGCTACAGTTACAGCCCCCAAGAAGGGTATCACCATTGTCCCAGGAGGAAGATAAAATTTTACTTACCCTGTGGATCAGTGGTTCCCAATCTTTAAGAGACCATGGACCACTGAGACAAAAAATGGATACATTGTAGACTAGCAGTCCCCAAACTAAGGCCCGGGGGCCGAATACAATCCTCCAGGATCATTCACCCGGCCCTCACTCAGGGTCAACTTAAGTCTGAAACTACTTGAAAGCACACAACAAGATCAATCAACCCCTCTCCTCACCACCCAGACAAAAATAAATTTAAAACGTTTTTAAATAACTAGAATTTCTTAATCATATTAACATTCACATATACATTTTTTAATTTTGTGATAGAAAGACAAAACACCACAATGAGACTTACACTGCCATACAGTATAAGCCAATTGAAAGAACTATTGGAGGAACTAGCGGAAGTAATTTCGGAACCACTGGTAATCATCTTTGAAAGTTCTTTGCCCTCATCCAGCAGATTGGACGAGGGCAAATGTGGTCCCTATCTTCAAGAAGAGAAAAAAGGATGGCCCAAACAACTATTGTCCGGTTAGCCTCACGTCGATATCAGGCAAGATTCTGGAAAATATAATTAAGGAAGTAGTATGCAAACATTTATAAACAAATGCACTCATCACTAATAGTCAAAACGGATTTATCAAAAACCAGTCATGCAAGACTAATCTGATCTCTCTTTTCGATAGTCACAAGGGTGCTCACCAATGCTTCCTCTTCATCCTGGAAAGAAGTGACAAGTGGAGTGCCACAGGGTTCTGTCCCGGGTCCAGTTGTGTTCAGCAATGACTTAGATGAAGGGTTAGAAGGCATGATCATCAAGTTTGCAGACACCACCAAATTGGGAGGGGTAGCCAATACTCTAGAATCATAGAGTTGGAATAGACCTCATGGGTCATCCAGTCCAACCCCCTGCCAAGAAGCAGGAAAATCACATTCCAAGTACCTCCGACAGATGGCCATCTAGCATATGCTTAAAAGCCTCCATAGAAGGAGCCTCCACTCCACTCTGGGTAGAGTTCTGTAGGGGCAATGAAACCAAAATATTTCCCAAAAAGGCAGAAGCCACCTTTCCAATGGGGAGGACAAGGATGGATATCACGAAAGTTGAATCTTTTAAACTGCAAAAAACCTATTTATTGCGTGGCCATAGCAATAACGACAAACAAGCATACAAGGATGCAATCAAAAGGTTTGTCGCAACCCCCAATGGGGCTGCAGAGCATTTATAGTAAATGGAATATACATTTTCATTGGTTCCCAAAGACAAATCATTTCATTGGTCTAAGTTAGCTATACAGTTGTTCATTTGTTGTTTATGATTTTGATTGACATTATAGCACATATGGGATCCTAACAATGGTACAACTATAACATAACTATAGTCCATTGTTCTCTGACCATGACTGTATCTTATCTGTTAGTCTGTTGCAAACATGGCGACTGGGAAACTTGGGGGTTCTATCTAGCCAACAGCTAGCTGGTTTTGTCCGGATATACTGTTATCCTTGAATAGTAACTTCTTCTTTGGAGCACTGATTTCTCAAACAATCAGCATTTTCTGTGAACACAGGCCTACTGCAGAAATAGGCCAATATGGCAGTAAATCATGACATATGGGCATTGGTGAAATATCTGAAAATTCCCTTTTTGAAACCACATCCCCTCCAGTTCCACTGCTGAACAGTTCAGTCAGGAAGTTCTTCCTAATGTTCAGATGGAATCTCTTTCTCCCAGCACCAACTGCCGCTCTGGGCCAGAGTGAAGAGAGAGGGGGGCAGGGACAGTTCCATCTTGTCTCCTGCATATGTCATCAGTTGGGGACCCCCCCCCCCAGCACCAACTGCCACTCTGGGCCAGAGTGAAGAGAGGGGGGCACGGGACAGTTCCATCTTGTCTCCTGCACATGTCATCATTTGGGGACCCCCCCCCCAGCACCAACTGCCGCTCTGGGCCAGAGTGAAGAGGGGGGGGGGCAGGGGACAGTTCCACCTTGTCTCCTGTACTATGCTAATAATATAATATAATATATTGTACATACATATAATATTTATAATATTATAATGTAATACAATATAATGCCAATAATAATAAGGTATTATAATTATATATTTATATAATAATATAATATATTGTACATACATATAATATTTTAATATTATAATGTAATGCAATACAATAATAAGGTATTATAATTACATATTTACATTACATGCAATATTACTAATAATATTACGATATAGTGTATGGTGCAATATAGCAATGTTTAATGCTGATATTGTACTATGCTAATAATATAATATAATATATTGTATGTATTTCTAGGAGCCCCCGGTGGCGCAGTGGGTTAAAGCACTGAGCTGCTGAACTTGTTGATCGAAAGGTTGCAGGTTCGATTCCGGGGAGCGGCGTAAGCTTCCGCTGTCAGCCCTAGCTTCTGCCAACCTAGCAGTTTGAAAACATGCAAATGTGAGTAGATCAATAGGTACTGCTCCGGCGGGAAGGTAACATAGCCCATCTCTCTAATCTGTCAAGATCATTTTGAATTCTGCTCCTGTCCTCTGGAGTATTGGCTATCCCTCCCAATTTGGTGTTGTCTGCAAACTTGATGATCATGCCTTCTAACCCTTTATCTAAGTCATTAATAAAGATGTTGAACAGGACCGGCCAGGACGGAACCCTGCGGCACTCCACTCACCTTGTACTGGAAGTCCCATCATCCAATGTCTGTCCTCCTCCAAACAGCATCGGGATGTAGAGTGGGTCATGGGGGCTCTGTGTGCCAAGTTTGGTCTTGATTGGTCATTAGATGAGGGTTGCATCAGTCTTGGGAAGTGAGTGGAGGTACTTAGTCCCATCATCCATGGTCTGTCCTCCTCGAAAGTGCACCAGGATGTAGAGTGGGTCATGGGGACTCTATGTGCCAAGTTTGGTCTTGATCAGTCATTCGCAAGGGTCTCAGTGGGTCTCAGGAAGTGAGTGAAGTTACTGCAAGTCCCATCATCCATTTCCAAATTATTCCAAATCGCACCAGGATGTAGAGTGGGTCATGTGGGCTCTCTGTGTGAATTGTGATCCTGATCCATCACTGTTGGCAGTTGTAATGGTCCCAGGAAGGGAGTTCAGGTATTGCAAGCCCCATTGTCCATGGTGCATCCTCCTCCAAACTGCACCAGGATGTAGAGTGTGTCATGGAGACTCAGTGTGCCGAGTTTGGTCTTTATCGGTAATTGGATGAGGTTTGCAGTGGTCTCAGGAATTGAGCGAAGGTATTGCAAGTCCCATAATCCATGGTCCATCCCTGGCCAAACCATACCAGGGCGTAAAGTGGGTCATGAGAGGTCTATGCACCAAGTTTGATATAGATCAGTCATTGGATGAAGGTCAAAGTGGTGTCAGAAAGTGAGTGATGGTACTGCAAGTCCCATCATCCAACTCTAATGAAAAAGATCAGATTAGTCTGGCATGACTTGTTCTTGATAAAGCCATGTTGACTATTAGCAATGACCACATTTGTTTCTAAGTGTTTGCAGACCACTTCCTTAACAATCTTTTCCATAATCTTGCCTGGTATCGATGTGAGGGGATATGGGTTATCCTTTTTTCCGTTCTTGAAGATAGGAACCATGTTTGCCGTCCTCCAATCTACTGGGTCTTCTCCCATTCCCCAAGAATTCTCAGAGATGATTGCCAGAGGATCCAAAATGACTTCTGCTAGTTCCTTCAATACTCTTGGATGTAGTTGATCCAGCCCTGGGGACTTGAATTCGTTTAGAGCAGTCAGATATTCTTAGATGACTTGTTTGGGGTTGGATTTCCCCTTTTCCTTCACCCATTCCATGTTGCTGAGGTGAAAGATGGCTTTCTTTTTGTGAGAACACTGGGGCAAATTTATTATTTACTAGCTAGGAGACCCGGCGCTGCCCGGGTTATTTGAGAAAGGAATTGTGTATCAAGGTTGGTCTTATCAGTTATTTATATGGCTCGCAGTGGTCTCAGGAAGTTAGTGAAGGTACTGCGAGTCCCATCATCTGTGGTCCATCCTCCTCCAAACTGCACCAGAATGGAGAGTGGGTCATGGGGGCTCTGTGTGCCAAGTTTGGTCTTGATCAATCATTGGATGAGGGTCACAGTGGTCTCAGAAAGTGAGTTAAGGTACTGCAAGTCCCATCATCCATAGTCTCCCTCAGACATCACCAGAATGTTGAGTTGGCCATGGGGGCTCTCTGTGCCAAGTTTGGTCTTTATTGGTATTTGGATGAGTGTCACTGTGGTTTCAGGAAGTGAGTGAAGGTACTGCAAGTCCCATCATCCATTGTCCGTCCTCCTCCAAACAGCACCAGGATGTAGAGTCACTCATGGGGCTCTGTGTGCCAAGTTTGGTCTTGATTGGTCATTAGATGAGGGTTGCAGCAGTCTTGGGAAGTGAGTGGAGGTACTTGAAGTCCCATCATCCATAGTCTGTTCTCCCCAAACCTCACCAGAATGTTGAGTTGGCCATGGGGGCTCTGTGTGCCAAGTTTGGTCTTCATCAGTCATTGGATGAGGGTCTCAGTGGTTTCACTGAGTGAAGGTACTCTAAGTCCCATTGTCCATGGTGCATCATCCTCCAAACCGTACCAGGATGTAGAGTGCATAATGGAGACCCGGTGTGCCAAGTTTGGTCCTTATCGGAAATTGGATGATGTTTTGCAGTGGTCTCAGGAATTGAGCGAAGGTACTGCAAGTCCCAAAATCCATGCACGATCCACAGTCAAACCACACCAGGGCGTGATTAGTCATTGGCGAGGGTCTCAGTGGTCTCAGGAAGTGAGTGAAGTGACTGCAAGTCCCATCATCCATTGTCAAATTCTTCCAAACCACACCAGGATGTAGAGTGGGTCATGCGGGCTCTCTGTGTAAATTGTGGTCCTGATCCATCATTGTTGGCAGTTGTAATGGTCTTAGGAAGGGAGTGCAGGTATTGCAAGTCCCATCGTCCATGGTGCATCCTCCTCCAAACTGCACCAGGATGTAGAGTGGTCATGGAGACTCAGTGTGCCAAGTTTGGTCTTTATCGGTAATTGGATGAGGGTTGCAGTGGTCTCAAGAATTGAGCAAAGGTACTGCAAGTCCCATAATCCATGGTCCATCCCTGGCCAAACCACACCAGGACGTAAATTGGGTCATGAGAGGTCTATGTGCCAAGTTTGGTCCTGATCAGTCATTGGATGAGGTTAACAGCAGTCTCAGAACGTGAGTGATGGTACTGCAAGTCCCATCATCCATGGTTCAACATACATCATCCATGGTTCAACATACCTCCAGTTTGTGAGTAAAACTGAATTACCATGCTGCGAAAGGATGCATGTCTAAAAAGTGGTCACCAGCATGAAAAGTTTGGAAAGCTCTGCTCTTCAGAGCAACATAGGAGCCTCATAGAGAGCTATTTAGGTCATTAGTTCATACCTTTTTGTACTGCTACTGATTCATTCTTTCTTTCTTTTTTCAGAAAGACATGTTTAGGGTGGTATAAACTATGGCCCAGTTCTATTACAAGAGAACCGTCAGTGCCCCATACAGAGATCGCATCCCGCTTCGCATTGTACGAGCCGAGTCTGAACTGTCACCTGCCGAGAAAGCCTATTTGAGTGCGGTGGAGAAAGGGGATTATGCCGGTGTGAAGCAAGCCCTGGAGGAAGCAGAAATTTATTTCAAGATCAATATTAATTGCATTGACCCCCTTGGAAGGACGGCTCTCCTTATTGCAATAGAAAATGAAAACCTGGAGCTCATAGAGCTGCTCTTGAGCTTTAATGTCTATGTGGGGGATGCCCTGCTGCATGCCATCAGGAAAGAAGTGGTTGGTGCTGTTGAACTGCTATTAAACCACAAGAAACCCAGCGGGGAGAAACAGGTATTTGAGAAAGTTCCATTTTGCGGGATAGTTTCCAGATCCAGCAACATCACCCTAACCCCAGAAAGCTCTTATAACACCAATAGTAGATTGGAGAAATAGCCTAAGAAGGTTAATCACTGGAGAATTATTACACACAAAAGATTGCTGAATTAAAACAGCTTGCTTGTGTTTCTGTGTTTCTGTTGCTGTACATGTTTTGTTCTCATTGTTCAGGGCTCAGGCTTTTGAGTGGCATCTCAGAAGCCACCCCGCTTCCCTTTGTTGACCCTATGCCCAGCAGAAAGGTAGTTACAGTGCAGCAGGTCATTCCCATAGACAGCAAGCGTGACTGCTTGGATGTACTGGGAGGGGGGTCCACCTCCATGTATGTGTTCAAAACTCTCTGAAAGTGATGTCATGCCCCTTACAGCCATCATTTGGAATTTTTAAAAATTTGCTCAACATTTTCAAGGTTCTTGTGGGGGTGGGGCTTAAACTGCATAATTTGAGACTGGTTTCGAGTACTTTTGACCAATTTTCAGGTTTAAAAAAATAATACTAAAATCAACTTGAAGACTATTTTGAGGGGATTAGGAGGCTCTAGGGGTCACCAGGGAGAGCTTAAGATGTTTGGAAATTGGACTTCAAGAGCTCCATGATGCACTCTCCCTACCCCTACTCTAAAGAAAGCTCTTCTCAAGACTCTTTACACTTCTTTAGAGCAAGGTGGACATTGTACACCTCCCTAGACCTGTTGCAGCTTAAAACATTGTAGCCTAAAGTTAAAAGAAATCTAGAGTGTCACCCCATTTATCCAGACTGGCAGTAATGTTAAGGGGTGGAGGATTAAGTAGGCGAAACCAATTTCTCCATGCCTTTAGTGTCTAAGACCCCCTCCACACTGCCCTTATACAGGGCAATTTTCAAGTGTAAGCAAACAGTATTTTGCCCCCCCCCCCAAAAAAAACCAATCACTGAAAAATAAAAGTTAGAAGGTAGAGGTGAATAAAAGAGTTACCTTACAAACCAGAAGTTTACTTACAACATTATGTTCATATAATTACATACATAGAATTAACACAAATTAACGTTTTTTAAAAAATGCAAATATTTTATTAAACTTAGCAACAATTTTAAGTTTTTGCTGTTATTTTTGGTCTACAAGTACTACACAAAGGTTTCTTGGTCATGCTGTCTTTTCAGATTTTTCAAACTTTGGGCTTGCTAATAACAGAGAACTCAATCCCATTCTTGTTGAGTCTGTTAATCAGTTTTGTTTTGGAGAACACAGCCCTAGGAGAATAGAACCTCCTTTTTAAGGAAGTGAACTCGTCCTTCAGAAGTGCTACACCAGCCTGGACCATTGCAATGGGAGTGGCAACATAGCCAGCCTCTGTCTCCCTCACTTGAGTGGATATTTTAACATCCAGTTTTCCTTAACACAAATAAACTTGAATACTTTTAAAATTAAAAAGAGATTTTTCTGGCTTTCAAGTTTGAAAACACGTGTACTAGTAAATCTATTTCCATTTCATCCAAGTCATTTTCAATGGCCTAGGTTGCTAGTCCACTCAAGAGCTTTTGACTCAAAGTTGATCTTAAGTATGTTTTTATAAGTTTTAATTTTGAAAAACTCCACGGATACTGAAAGTGTTAACAGAATTCTCTTTTTTAAAGTTTTTATTGTTTTATAGTGTATATAGGAAACAAAACAGATGAACAAAAGAAAAAAGAGAGAAAAATACAAAAGATTTACAAAAGAGTGTACATTCAGTACTCGTTAAACATAGGAACAATCAGACTTGGTTGTACAATTAATTATACCTTAACATTTCTTAACCCTCTATCCCCCCCACCCGTGAACCCCACCTCATGACCTCCGAAATCCCTCAAAAAAGGATCACACAACTCACCAGCAACTACCCATTCTTTCACTGAATCCCCTTTATGGCCATCTTCAAGTTTATCTTTGTCTTCTTTTCCAAATACCCAAGTGCCAGCCTCCATTTGTTTGCAAATTCTTCATTATTGTTTCCTCCTCTGCTGCTCTTTCTCAGCTTGGCCATTTGGATCATGCAATATGTAACAAAATTTGGAAAAATTCCGGGTTTAAAGTGTTTCTGTTTAATTGTGTGGTACTTACTTTTCTAAAAGATAGCAGGTCAGGGTTAGGGTAGAAGATCCCAGGATTTTTCTGCCATTGGGGAAAGTTAACTCAGCAGCTGAAGGAAAAGGGAAGGAAAGAACATCTATATGGTTTCACAAGTTGACTGTTTGTATTTGTAACTTTATCAAGCTGTGCCAAGTCTGTCAAGGACTTTGAGAAATAAATGTTCTGTTTGATGTTCAAATCTGGACTGGCCTCAGTTGCTGGGAATCCTGAGCTTCTAAGTAAGAAGCACATCTTAGTTTTAACTTTATAGTGTCTGGATGTGACGGCACAGGTATTCCCTACACAGCACAATAAAAATGTCTCTGGTGTCTTGGTTTTTAGGCCTCTTCCTGGGGTCATTTGGAGATCTGATTCAGGAAATTGTATTGGATGGACCGCATTAGCTCTCGTTTCTTAGATATAGTTATCACGGTTTTCTATGGGCAAAGCAGAGTGAAGAGTGATATATGTCATATGCCAAATGCAGAATTTAGCTCTGAATGTAAAAGAATGTGAAAGAACTTAACTGCCAGGGCTGTATGTAGTTTGCTGAGGGTCTGGGACTATTTTGCTCTTGTAAAACTACAACTCCCAGGATTCCTTAGCATGGAGCACTGGCAGTTAAAGTAATGTTAAATTGCATTAATTCTACAGTAATGATTCTCCTCCTGTCATCTACAAAGAGGGAGCTCTTGCAAAGAAGTGTCTCCCAAAAGTCTCCCCTTCTACACTGCCATATAAAATCCGGATTATCTGCTTTGAACTGGATTATATGAAAGTGTAGAAGAGGCCAAAGAGTAAATTCCATCTGCAGTTACATTGGGATAATTCTTTGGGACTTTCCTTCCTGGGCTTTCCCCTCATTTATTAAAGGGAAGTAGCATTTGTAAAACTACAAGCCCAAGTCACACTCTCTCAGCCTCTGAGGGAGGCAAAGATCAACTCCTTTCCCAACAAACTTGGCTAAGAAAGAACCTCAGTGATGGGTTGAGTTGGCCTTCCAGTCAATGGGAAGTAACCTGAAAGCACACCACCACAAACAACCTGGTGGGTTGGTTGTTTTGAGTTTTCTGGGCTGTATGACAATGTTCCAGAAGCATTCCCTCCTGACCTTTTGCCTGTATCAATGGAGGCATTCTCAGAGGTTGTGAGGTCTGTTGGAAACTAGGCAAGTGAAGTTTATATATCTGTGGAATGTCCAGGGTGGGAGAAAGAACTCTTGTCTGTTTGAGGTAGGTGTGAATGTTTCAGTTGACCACCTTGATTAGCATTTAATGGCCTAGCAGTTTCAAGGTCTGGCTTCTAACTGCCTGGGGGAATCTTTTGTTGGGAGATGTTGGGAGGTGATTAGCTGGCCCCGATTGTTTCTTGTATAGAATTCCCCTGTTTCTGAGAGTTGTTCTTTATTTACTGTTATGATTTTCGAGTTTTTTTTAATACTGGTAGCCAGATTTTGTTCATTTTCATGGTTTCTTCCTTTCTGTTGAAATTATCCCCAGGCTTCTTACTGCCTGGGGGAATCCTTTGTTGGGAGGTGATTAGCTGACCCTGATTGTTCCTTATCTGGAATTCCCCTGTTTTTGAGTGTTGTCCTTTTTTTAGTGTTATGATTTTAGAGTTTTTATAAAATACTGGTAGCCAGGTTTTGTTCATTTTCATGGTTTCTACCTTTCTGTTGAAATTGTCCACATGCTTATTCCCAACAGACCTCACAACCTCTGAAATGCCTGCTATAGATGCAGGCAAAACGTCAGGAGAGAATGCTTCTGGAACACGGCCAGACAGCCCGGGGAAAACTCACAGCAACCCAGTGATTCTGGCCATGAAAGCGTTCGACAATAACCTGGTGGGTGTTTGGAGGAGAGTTAGCGCCTCTTCTCTCTCTCTCGACACACACAGCCCATGGATTGGCAATGGAGTGGGTCGCTTCCCGGCGGGAGGAGGGGAAAGAGAGCCCACAACCCTCACTCTCCCTCACTCCCTCACTCCCTCCCTGCCTGCCTGCCTGCCTGCCTTATTTCCTTCCTTCCTTCCTTCCTTCCTTCTCTCCCTCCCTCCCTCCCTCCCTCCCTCCCTTATCTTCTTATTTTCTGGGCCTTTCTTCCATGGCTCGGAGCACTTTATAAGAAGCCTGGTTGGCATCTCCGGGGCTCTTTCGCTTGGCTCGGATGCAGAGAAAAACTCCTTCGTCGCCCCTCCCGTTTCTTCCTTTCCCTCCCTCTTCCCCTTTAAGGCTGTCACTCATCCGCCTTCTTCTGGCCGCGGCCAATGGAGGCACCGGGTTTGGGGCGACCCTAGTCAATGCCCTTGTAGCCAGGCGAGCCAGAGGAAACAGGAGCCAGAGAGCCAAGCGAGGGGTGCCTTGGTCCCTTCAATCCATTTTCCCTTCCCTCCTGCTTTATTCCTTCCTTACAAAACTAAACATTTGGGGAGTGAAAGAAAATGGGTCAGGATAGAATTCCAGTCGGGAAAGAGGCTCTTTTACGTTGTTCCCTGTTATAGCCTGGGGCGCCTCAAGAGTGCCCCTCAGTGATTGGCACTCTACGCAAATGCTTAATTTGCCTAATGCTTCAGCTGCCCCTGCCCCTATATCCCAGGATACCAGATTATCTGGGAGTGTAGGCTAGTATAATTCAGCTCAAAGCAGATAATGTGGATTATTTACCTTGATAATCTGGATTAAATGGCAGTGTAGAAGGGGCCTGAGTCTACATGGCCAGATCATCTGGGATAAGCAGATAATCTGGGATCAGGTCCTGGGATGTAAGGCAGTGTAGATCAAGCCTGAGACAAGTGGGCAAATGTATAGCCACCATATGTTGTTGGACTACAGCATACATTAGCCTCAGACCATAGAGTCAATAGT